GGTTGCATTTTTCCGCCAGATGGTTCTGATAGAAACGCTCTCTCTTTCATGTTTAAATACCTGCCCATGAGTTATGATGAAGACTACATGTATTTGTTTTGGTTTGGCTTCGAGGATATTCGACTTTTTCTCTCTCTTTACAGACCCACCAAGGCTGTGGTTTTATCGATTTGCCCCTGTCTCTATTTGTTGTTGTTGCTTCCAGTCTTCATTCCAAAAGATTCCATTTCATAATATAGGAGACGTTAGCAAGAAGTCCCTTTCCTCCGGCAATAATGTGCCTTTTCGGTGGCTGCGTTTTGGCTTATTTTTGTTTTTAAAATGTTGCTTCTGGGTGCTATTTATTTCTTATCGGAAGAAATTGGGCTACATTTGTCCACTGGATGGCGCAGTGGGCACTGTACATTTCCCTGTCGCATATATTTTGCGAAGCATACTGCAAAAGCAATTAACTGTCGAGAAAATCAAGGTACTTTGAATTACCCAGACTGCCGACATCTAGAGCTGATGCTTACTATAGTAATGACTAATTAACTGTCCAATGACTGTGGAAAAAAATAGATAGTCCCTAATTCCAAACCCTCAAGGTAAGGCTGAAATTTTGAGATTTGTTTCTGCTGGGATACCCACGGTTACAGGGACGGGAAATATAATGGGCTTGAGGCTTAGGGCGAAAAGAAGATGTGTTAAGAGGTGCCACAACAAGCTAAGCCAGCTGGATAATCTATGTGGGCAACCAGGCGGCCAATCGGCGTGCGCTGCTGCTTCGAGCACGCATGACGTCCTCTGCTCACGCATGCGGTCCAAATATTCGAGGAGGGCAGTACAGTATGGGAAGCGATCAATCAGCGTGTGGTCAGAAGTTTCTAGAAGCCTCGTCGCACACCATTGGCAGAAAGGTTCATGAACGGCCAGAACACCATAAGTAAGCTAGAGTTGGCAAGCTAGGGCGCCCACTGTTTCTGTAGGCTTTTAATTAACTTGATGATCTCAGAAATCTCGTCTTTTTCCGCTTGTTTGTCAGGGTATGACAACGACGAAACTCATCTAGATGCAAAGACGATGTAACAAACTGTTGGTGGTACTCCGCCTGAAAGATTGGACCATTTCTATTATAGTATGGGATCACCCCGAATATGTTTCTTTGCAACGTTGCCTGAGTCTTTCG